ATATTTTTCTGTTTTACATTTTATTCTAAGATTTCCATTTCAATACTTATGTCACCTTTTTGATTATGTTTACTTCATCATTCCACACTTTGTATCGGTTATTATTATTTATCTCTTGTTCTTACTAATGTCATTATTCTAACAACTGCATTTTACTTTAATTTTTATGTTTCTCATACCTTGTTATCTGTTTTTTTTCTTAGACCTGATGATGGCCTGAACTTCAGGTCGAAACGTCGGCAAATGTCAAAATAAATATTATCATTTATTTTTGCCTTCTTATTTGACTGATCACCCCAACTATTCTTCTCTTCATTATTCATGACAGTCAACCATTTACCCACTATAAGAATTAATAAATAGACATAATTAAAAAAAGTATAAGTCACCTTCTAAGTTTAATCTATTAAGAAAAAAAATTGAAAGAAAAGCGAAATAAAAATAGTTAAAATAAACTAATAATTTATATATATATATATTTACAGCAATATTTATCAACAATGTAATGGGGACTGAATAGATGGAAATGATTAAACAGACGGGATTTAAAGGTGGAGAGGATATTGGAGCGATGGATGTAGTAAGGGATAGAATTCTATTGGGATGAGGATCGAATAATGAAAGACCTGTGAAACGCCTTGGTTTGGTGAGCCCTGAGGAAGGCAACTGGAGAATAATAAAGAATGAGGATCTGAAAGAAATGATCCAAGAACCAGATGTGGTTTCTTTTGTTAGAAAGAAGAGTGGATGACGGCGTGTAGGATGTTCAAAAAATTGCTAGATGGTAAGCCTGGAGAAGTAAGAGTTAGGGGACGTCCAGCCGGGCAACTCACGGTGCTGTACACGCGCGTTTGTTATATTGTATTATATTTTTAACTTAAATCACGAAAGTGTAAGTGAAAAACACCGAAATACTTACACATTAAGCCGTACTACTTCCTATGATCAAGTGAATACCTATTGATAATATTATTAATAAAATGTATAAAAAAAATGGTCCCATTCCTCATTCTATGATCATCCTGAAAAGACGGTTGAGGTGAACTAGCATTAATTATTATTATTAATTTTCATTGATTGAAGACATATATATTACCAACACCATCAGGCCTTGCCTACATTATCTTAGGTATCCAACAATTGACATATTCACAAAACAATTAATTTATTGATTATTTCTAATTTTTTTATTTATATCTTGGTACTCAGGCGGATGAGCAGCTAATTAGGTTCACTAGTAGTCCGTAATATAGACCCATTTTTATTAAATTATTAACATCCAGTGGAAATCTCGTAAATAGCTTCATCTCATCGCACTAGTGGATCCAGGATTTAATTTTTTGGGGGGCTTCAGCCCAAAAGATTTTTTTTTCATATACATATAACAATAATTAATTAGAAAAAAAAAAGAAAGAAATTAACTACCTATTTGAAATGGTGTTTAAGTGGTTCTTGAAGTCCTATTAAATGTAATTACATGAACAAGAATACTTTAAGAGATAGTTTTAATATTTTTTTTCTGTAAAACATGGTTATATTTTACCATTTTGGGGGGGACTTCAGCCCGAAAGCCCTCCTCCCCGTCTGTGTCTCATTGTAACCTACAAATAATTAATTTATGAAAATTCTGGAAATTGGAGCGTTTTCAATCTGGAGGTCGGCAAATTTTGTCTATTAGGTGCTAGAAACTCGTAAATCCCATTTGCTTTCCACTTGGTTCGTAAGATAATTTGATCACAAAATCGATTAAAAAAGGTGGTCTCTAAACATATTAGGCCGTTTGGCCTATACAACCTCGTTATTTTGACAATTTGGCTGTGTAGGTCATGCCAAACGGCTCAATATTTTTGTAGGTCACCTTTTTTTCCAACTTTGTGTGGAAGTTATCTTGCAATTCAAGTGGTAACCAAATGGTTATTTATCAGTTTTTAGTCCCTAATTAAATAAACAAAATTTACCGACCTTCAGATTGACAACGCCCCGATTCCGAGAATTTTCGTAAATAAAATATTTGTAGGTTACGATGAGATGAAGCTATATACGAAGTTTCAGCTGGATGTTATTTGTTTAATAAAAAGGAGTCTATACCACTGATAAAAAAATAATAATGATGAAAAATAAACCAATTATATTTTAAAAAAGAAATATGCATTATTTTCTTTAAAAAATGTAATTATAATCAATTGAAATAATAGATGAGGAAAATCTTGATCTTGATCACCATACTAGTTGCTGTGGTAACCACTAATAGGACTACCACAAGTTTAATTATTTGATTTTTTGTTTCAATAACGCTTTTTCCCTTTTTCGTTCATTCTTAAAATATAATTTAAATTTATTTATTTCTATTGTTTACAAATATATTTCATTATTCACGTCAAGTTTCAATAAGTTGAAATAATTGTATTATGAGATATTACTGTAAGTTAGAATTATTGCCAATAGGCAATGATAGACCATATTAGTATTTTTTTACATGTTATTGGTGATAATAGTATAATAAAAAGAGTTATAAATTGTTAAATAAAGAATAAAAATAAAAAATTTTTTGACAAAAAAAAAATCTTACTTATAAAGTGAATAAAAAACACAATTATGTTATTTTCATGGATAATTCGTTCCCATAATTTCATTTTGTACATTATTTGATAATAATAAATACAAAATTTATGGTTGACTGTCGTAAATAATGAAGAGAAGGATGGTTGAGATGATCAATCAGAAATAAGAAGGCAAAAATAAATAATAGTATTTATTTTAACATTTGCCGACGTTTCGATCTGTAGTTCAGGCTTTCATCAGGGCTAAGAAAAGAACCAGATACCAAGGTATGAGCAACATAAACAATGTAGGTAAAAAAATATTAATGTAAAATGAAGTTGGTAGAATAATGACAATAACAAGAACTAAGAAATAAATAATAATGACCGTTACAAAGTGTGGAATAATGAAGTAAATATAATCAAAAAAAGGTGACATAAGTACTAAATTGGTAGTCTTGGAATAAAATGTAAAGCAGAGAAAAGGAATATGAAGTTATGTAAGAAATAAAAATAAATAGTAAAATTAAGATATTGTAAATAGAATAGTTAGATAAAAAATTGAGATATTGTAAAGTCTATCAAAATGTACTGACTACGTATAATAGAATAAAAACTTAAAGGAAGGAGGGAAAAAAAAAAAAAAAAAAAGGAGAAAACTACAAAAAGATAGAACAGGTTGGTTTTCTATCTTATAAGAAATAAAAATAAATTGTAAAATTAAGATATTGTAAATAGAATAGTTAGAAACAAAATTGAAATATTGTAAAGTCTATCAAAATGACTTTACAATATCTCAATTTTCTATCTGACTATTCTTTTTAAAATATCTTAATTTTACTATTTATTTTTATTTCTTATATAACTTCATATTTCTTTTCTCTGCTTTACATTTTATTCTAAGATTACCAATTTAGTACTTATCCTATATATTATTTCTAAAAGGTGTTTTTTTTTGTCAGTACGCCATAACTTCGTCAATTCTTCATCAAATCCAATGATTGACCACTCATTTTGAAGATATTCTTCTCCTTCACATGCGAAAAATAGTCCCATCCCCCCGAAATTTCTGGAAAAAAAGTTATGGAGGAAAAGAAACTTTATTTGCTAATAACTCAAAAAATATGCATTTTTTTTCTGGTTTGTACCCATGATAATTAGAAAGATTACTAAATTACCTACTAAACAAAAAAAAAAAAAATTAGACAATTTATATTTTATTTTATGCAATTTGCACCTGCGCATCTAGCAAATTTTTAGTGTTTTTATTTTCTTGGTGTAATTGCTTGATTTTTTTTATGTTTATGTTTTTATTGATGTAGTAGGTCTCTTGGCCATTTTCTTCTTAATCTTCCTTGCTCAGGTAACAGGGAGCAGGAGATAGAAAGAACCAAAGGATTGGAGTGATTTTTGGTTGAAGAATGAAATGTAGTGTATTTGTCGTGGATGTAGGATTTTACTGTTGGGGTGTTTAAGTCGTTATGTATAGTAGTATTCGAAATGTACTAAGGTCCGTTAACAATTTTAATTATTGACAAATATACAGTCAATTAGTTTTGGTATACTTAATAATACTGTTTAAAGATATTGCATTTAGGAGTAGAATAGTCTACTACATTTTTTTTCCTGGCTGATATATTAATTTTATTATTTCTTAAAGACATTTGGTTGTTCTTACATCTAATTTTTTTAATAATTTAGAAATCCCATGATCGGGGAATTATTTTTCCTTTATTACTTTTATTATCTTTCCAGTCAATGTTTAAAAATAGGTCCTAGCAAAGCAATTTGTACAAATATTTTGGTCCATTATGTTTAATGGAATATTGTAATCGACCAAGGAACAAATATTAATTCCTTCCTTACATAATACCTACAAACTACTTATTTCCATATTTTTTTGCTATTTTTTCAGTAAATAAAATTATTCGCATGGGTCAACTAGTGTCACCTTATTTTGATTATGTTTACTTCATTATTCCACACTTTGTAACGGTCATTATTATTTATTTTTTAGTTCTTGTTATTGTCATTATTCTACCCACTTTGTTTGACTTTAATATTTTTTTAGCTACATTGTTTATGTTTCTCATACCTTGTTGTCTGGTTCTTTTCTTAGCCCTGATGATGGCCTGAACTTCATGCTGAAACGTTGGCAAATGTTAAAATAAATATTATTATTTATTTTGCCTTTTTATTTCTGACTGATCACCCCAACCATCCTTCTCTTCATTATTCACGACAGTCAACCATCAATCAACCCACAATTTTGTATTTATTATTATTCAATCTTTGGAGCAGTTATTTATAAATATTTAGATTAGCCATAACCTAATCAGTTATTTTTTGGTAGACCAGCAGACCACGAATCTCTTCATTCCCATTCTAGTTAGGATAGATTGCTTACCTATATGATGACAAAACATTATCACATTAAAATTCAAGATTTATCTATTTTAGTAGTTAAACGATTCAAGACAGAGGACTTAATAAAAATAATTGAAAAACATAAAGTCATATGGGACAGTGGCCTCGAACAATACAGCAACAAAAATTTAAAAATGGACGCATGGAATCAAGTTATGTTGCATTTTTTACCCGATTTTGAAGAAAAGGACGAGGCTATAAAGAATGCTGTTGGTAAGTTTGATTTATTTCGTATTTAATTTATTCATATTGTAACCATGTCTGTAGTGTTTTAATACAGCAATTTTAACTACAAATACTATTTTTTTAAAATTATTAGACATTATTTAGAGATGACCGTTCGCTATTGTCGAGTGTTATTTTGAAATTATGAGAATGACAAGTTGCAGTCAATGCAGGTTATCTCATTTCTTAATAGTCAAACAAACTTTGGATTGAAGGGAGGGGGAGGAATGATTCTTGACAAAATTTCCACCAAAAAGTTTATTATTTATATGCTAGAGATGTTACAGTAACATTTTCGTCAAAATCGTCTCACCGGAAGTGGCACTTTATATAATAGACTAAACATATTTTTGCGGTTTTCTTATATATATCTGTTTTCTTTGCGGTCAATGTAAAATTAGGTGGTTTTAAATAATACATACAGTGTTTAAATGGCTAATTTTCAATATTAGCTTCCTCTAAAGTACCTTTAATTTTTTTTTATTTAAAACAATTGACCATTTAATTTTATCTCTAATATAAGAGATAGTTAAATAAAAAAAATGTAAGAATTTGATAATTAACTAAAGGAGAAATAAGAGATCATAACGGAGAATAGTTGTAATTCAGAAACCAAAGGAATAAGAGTGAAACCGAGCTCGTCCGAAAGATTAGAACACGTTTCCATACGTAACATGACCTTAATATAATAGTGACTCCGACCATATTATTTAAATATACATTTGCTGTTTTCATAGATGCTAGATATTGTTGGTATTATTTAATATTTAATTGTATAGATTACAGCGATATAAATATTAAAATTTGTATATAAGTGTACTTATTAAAATAAAAATACCCAAAATGAAATATAAATCAATATAGGGTTTAAAATTTTTACTTTCACTTCCTCTTTGTCTAAAAACATAATTATTTTCTGCTAAGTGGGTGGTAAGTAGAAGTTGTGTTATGCGTGCACTGCACCATATTTTTTTATTGAATAAGAAGGAATTGCTAAAAAAAATTATTCAAGATTATTAAAAGTACGCCATTGTAAAGTAGACAATTTTCTTTGAGAAAACTGTGATTAAATTGACTAAGATAAATAATAAAAGGGTCTTTTAGGAGGTCTAATGTATTGTAGTTTATTAAAAAAAAAAACACAAAACTTAAATTTCCTACTTTTCTGTTAAAAATTGGATCATTGTTTAAAAAAACTGTTTTGTACTTCTTGAGGGCTGCTATCGTCCCTTAAATACTTCTATTTACTTTCCGGACACGCTGTATAACACCATTGTTACATTGAATTAATGATTTTTGTCCATTATTTTCATCATTTGGTTCCTCAGTAAACGTGTTAATTTAATTAACAAACTATTTTCTTTTCCAGTGACAATCGTCCAGAAAAAATGGAAAGGCATTCGTGCATGTTATTCACGTGAGCTGCGGCGAAAAAGAAATCTGTCAGGTGCCTCTACAGCTATGAGAATTAAGCCATACTTGTACTTTGAGCAACTGCGTTTTTTAGAAACCAATAGCAAGAAGATGACCTATAGTGTAGAGGATGAGCCGAATAGCACTTGCAATGAAGATAATGAAGAGGTTACGGGAGTTTCATCTTCTATGGAATTCTCCAAATCTAATAGACTATGTGAAGATGATGAACTTAAAGAAAAGAAACTAAAATCTGATCCAGAGTTAATGGATGAAGACAGACATTTCTTACTTTCACTCGTTTCCGAAATAAAAAAAGTTCCTGCAGAAAACAAACTAAAGCTTCGTACTGAAATTATTAGAGCTATTGCTGCTGCTCAAGGTCAGTCGCTAACTTGGCCACCAGTACCGTTTGGAAGAGGTATATCTTCAGGCCCACCATTCCATTCAGGGGCATCTCTACCGATGTCAGGGCATGGTGACCCATTGCAAAATCAATTTTACTCACAGCTTCAAAATTACCAAACTAATAACCCCACTTCACCTAATTCAGAAACACAAGCAGTGGGATCACCAGCAGAGTCGGAAATTACCGAAACTAGTGATGTCTAATTATAATCATATTGATAAAAGTGTATCTGTTTTTATTTAAAAATAAATATCAAGTGAAAGGTTTTGAATTTTTTTATTACAACGTGGCACCTAAACGTAGGGGTTCACAAAATATTACGACTTTCTTTGAAAGTTGCGCAAGTCCATTTTATATTAAATTAAGAGTTTATATTTAAACCTAACTCCAGTACTGGCTCAAGGGATAATATATGCTGATGATATTGTAATGAAATGAAAGATAATTTTATCCTTGGACTGAAGTCTCCTTAGAGTTCAAAAAATATGTACATTAGTCTAGCATGTAGATATAATACATGTATACAAAAACTACTAAGAAAAATATAAGTATATATAAAAAAAAAATACTAAGCAAAATACAAATATATACAGGAATTAGTGAAAGAGAAAAAAAAAAAGAGTGTATAAATAAAAATAAAATAGCTGCTATCAATTAACTGCCTGTGATCAGCGTACTTGTATAACAAATTCTTACAAGCTTGTGGTAGTTTGAATTTGTTGTAGGTAGTAGAACAGGAGTTGTTTGAAGGAATTTATGGACGTAGTTTGAAGTATAGAGATGGGTAAGGAGTTCCAGAAGGAGGTAGCACGAATAACGAAGGACTTACTCGTTATTAATAAGGAAGTTTTATGGTAGGGGATGTGTAAGATTGGATAGAGGAGCGTAAAGTAAGGAGTTCTAAGATCGTAGCACCCCACTTGATTCTTCAGGCATCCTGATGAATGGAAGGAACTGAAGATAAGAGGCTTACAAATAAACCCAAATGACAGCATAGTCATGTGAAAATGTCATCGAATGTGAAAATGCGGAGCCTAGCATTTTGTGTAATGGTGAACCCCTAGAAATAATTAGTAAAGATGCTAAAATATACCTAGAGGTTTTAAATCGAGTGACTAAGGCCAGTGGATTGTACTAACAAATATCCAAAAGTGTTAGATGTTTGTAGAGATGCCAAAATCCTGATATTTCAATGTTGGACGACCCTCGATGAACACATAAGTGAGATTACATTGGTGGAAATTATATTCCTCTGAAGAATAGTTGGTAAGACCAGGAGAGACTGCATTAGAAATTGGTGTCAGATCGATGAGCGACACTATGCAAGATGACAAATAAAATGGTCAACAAAATGGAGGATACCAGAAAGGTCAGGTAATACTTAGAAGCTATACCAGAAGGATGACGCCTTCTGGTCAAATCTACTCTGATTATATTAGAAAATTGGGGGCAGGAAGAGGATGCACCGTCCTGGAGATGAGAAGACTAGCCAGAGACCAGGGAGCTAGGTGGCCCGAGGCTGCAACTCCACGCTATGTTATTTAAATACATAATAGTCTATGGTACAGAGTCCATTTTATCAAATTATTAACATCTGTCTAAAACCTCGTTAATCGCATTATCTTATCATAACCTAAAAATTTTTACTTCCACTTACCTATATATAAAATATATAGTAAAAGAAAATATTGTAATTGTGAAAATTTTCGAATCTCAGTTTTCAATACACATTTGAGGCCAATAAAAAAGTTTTAGATTACAGTAAGATAAAAAAGAGATTTGATAAAAAGGAGTCTATACCGCAAACTTTAGGAAATATTGTAAACATTTTCAGTAGTAGACACTTATGGGGAATCTAATTTTGTCACTTTAGTTATATTTTGTTGACTATATGAACAAATATCCTTTTTAGAGAAACTGGAAATATAATATGATAAAAAAATATAAAGTTGCGGAACAAAATTGTATTTTATAAGACCCTATAATGAGACTCTGTCTGTATGTGAAAGACCTCTACCTGTGTCCGTCACCGCACTGTGAGAACGGCAAATGCAGTGAGAGCAGTGGCTGCTTGAATCAGATGAAATACAATTCGAACACAACAAAACATGTCTCGGGAAATGGGAATCTCTGTCAGATCAATGTCTCGCATAATAGAAAATGACCTTGGGATGGGTACATTTCGAAGAATGACAGGACAAAGGCTAACCACTCCCTGAAGAAAAATTAGAGTGAATAGATGCAAAGTGCTCCAAAATGATCCTATGCACGCACACAACTCTAAAAAAGCCCAGGAAGTCATTGGAAGACTGGAAAGAGGTCATCACACTTCCTCAGTGATGGTTTGGTGTGGAGTTTGCTTTGATGGCACCACAGAGCTCCATTTTTGTGAAAAAATAGTTAAAACCTCCTATGAAAACTATCAGGACGATATTTTGGAACCTGTTGTCAAGCCTCTAAATCATACTCTGTTTGCTGGAAGTCATTGTTTTCCAGCAGGATTCCTCTCCAGCTCACAAGGCCAGGCCAACTCAGCAGTGGCTGCAAAAGAACATTCCAGAGTTCATATCTGCCTCGGATTAGCCCTCAGGAAGCCCTGATCTCAACCCACTAGATTATCGGCTTTGGATTTACCGAATCGGAGAGGATGGCATGCCACAGAGCACATCCTAACTTGGAAAGCCTCAAACAATCTCTGGTCCGAGCAGTTGAGCGCTTTCCTCAAGAAGTGCTGCATGCTGATGACTGGCCACAAGAGTAAGTGCTTGTGTCAAGGCAAAAGGGAGACATTTTGAGTCATTTCTTTTTTATTTTACTCTCTATAGATATACATTTTATTTTCTAATAAAGTTTTTGAAAAAAATAATTTTTCTGTTGAAATCTGTATATATTTCTTTGTTTCAATATTTATGACAGGACTAGGTACACCATGCTATTGTAGATGTAATATTTTATATTCATGATAAAAATATATATGTATTATTATCTTTCAATGGGGAGCGGAGTAGCTCAGTGGCAGGCACTGAGCTGCAAAGCTCAAGGTCTGCAGTTTGAATCCTGCTGATTTAATGTAATTTTTCATTAACCATAGATCAAACCTGGGGTCGGCAAACCCTCCTGGGGCACATCCAGACTATAAAGTGGCCACTCTTATTTAAATAAATAATTATGGGAGAAAACCTGGTGGTTGAATGTGATTCTGGCCTGATCACCTCCCTGCACAACCATTGGCCTTGAAACAGTATTTCCTATCTAAGTACCAAACCCAAAACCCTTTTTTTTTTAGTCCATGCATCTTGTTTACCAAATGGCTTGAATTCAAATTCAACATTCAAAAATACATATAAGCAAAATTTGAGCAGTCTACTACATTTTTCGAGTAAGTGAAAACCGATATTGATTTATCAACAATTAGCTTATGAAGAATTGCAAGATACTTAAATGTTTTCTAGAAAATCAAAGGCACTACTTTAATGCGCTGTACCCAAAGCATTTTTACTTTCACTTGCCTATATATGTAGTATATAATAAAGGAAAGTATTAAGATCGCGAGAATTTTCGAATCCGAAATTTCAACGGAAATTTTTGAAAAATTGAAAAAAAAACAACACGGTTTGAAGTCCCTTGATTCTAAATAACCAAGTCTCGCAAAATGGTCCCTTTGCATGTATGTACTTTAAAATTCCACTCAGTAACGGAAAGTTGTACGAAATTGAAATTGCATGTTAAAGGTTTGTATATGTTACAGCAACTTTTTCATCAATATCTGCTTACTGGAAAAGACACTTTATACGATCAATTTTCTCGAAAATTGCTGTAAAATTAAGCACTTCTTTTTTTTTCTTATTTATTAGTTATACATATTCGTGGCTCACATTAAATTTGCCATCTACCTCTGTATTCAGCAAATATGATATCAAGGAGAAGAAATTATAGCATAAAAACAAAAGAATAGTAATAACAAAAAAATAAACTAGTAAAATAACAAACACACATAAAAAAAAGATAATGCAGCAAGTAGCTCAATGCAATAAGTCTCTTGGCCAGCGCCTCAGCAGTCTTCTGGGCGGATTATATGGATTCGTGGCAGTAGATAGAGCTTGAATAAATGGATTGGAATTTAGAGTCAGTCCATCATGAAAATTATTAAAGCGGTCAGTGGCAGTTGCTGCGATGAAAGGAGTGTTATGGACTGACATGGACATACCACATAAAACAAAAAAGAAAAGAACTTAATCAGCGATACGGACTTCTTTCTAGGCTACTTGACAGACGTTCTAAATTATCTTTGACTAATAAATTAACTATTTAAAAAGTCCTCATTAAACCACTTTGGACATATGGGATCGAACTACGGGGAACAGCAAAGAAATAAAAAATATAAAAATCATCCAGTCAAAAGTCCTTCGGAAAATTGTAGACGCACCCTTTTATGTTTCAAACCTCACGTTACACCTTAACACTCCTTTCATCGCAAGAACTTCTTGATATAATGTAGGTCTTCTCATTGATGTTTTCTAACAGGGTTTAAATGCCTAATTTTCAAAATGTTTTTCTAAAGTACCTTTGATTTTTATTATGCGAAATAATTGACCATTTCACATTATCAACTGCTATAATGAACGAAGAAAATTGATTGGTAACTAAAGGCGAAATAAAGGTTGGAAGCTGTACCGAAATAGCCTAGAGCGCTCTCCCTTCACATATACTCTACAGTGGCTTAATAATATTATTATAAAGCCACTGGAATATACCCGATACCCCGCCCTACAAGGCTTTCATATTGTTTGTTTAACTTTTATCACTTCTTCATAATTTTTTTTAAAAGTTTTTCTCACGTAATGCTAAGAATCTACTAATATAAACCTAATAATATACAATATTTACTAACATTAAGTTTTTTTTCGACGAGTTTCGTGATAAATGTTTCCGATAAAACTCTGGATTTGTCCAAGAATCCATTTTTCCCCACAATCATTAGTGTTGTTTATACCATACAGTCGTAAAAGGAAATGTGGAGTGAGGCAAACGTATAAATTAAACAGATTTGATGGATTTCCATCCATGTTTTTTTTCCCCCATTTATTTATTGAGTATTGCAACAATCTGTCACATGGACACTAGTTATAGTTAGGTAGGACATTCACACTATATGTACAAACAAATATAAAATAAATAGAAGCAAAATATCAATAAATAAAATAAAATAACCTAAAAATAAGAAAATTAAAACTAAGCAAAAAACACATGCATATCTATATACACTATTTACAATCAGACGAGGGAACTCCAGGAGAATCCTGCGCTACTCTCTCTATCTCCTCACTGGTACTAAAACGTACCAGATAACGTACGATGATGCGTAAGGTTCTGGTGAAATTTGGAGAATTTTTCTGGGATAAGGTCTAGGACAAATGGGATGTTGAAGTCATGAGGTAGGGTTTTATTGGTTACATAGAAAGGAGCATCGACTATTGTTCGAAGGACTTTTCACTGGAAGGATTGGATGCGCTTGATGTTAGAGAATTTTGCTGTTCCCCACAGTTCTAGTCCGTAAGTCCAAATAGGTTTCAATATTGTCTTGTAGATCAGTAACTTGTTTTCAATAGAGAGTTTAGATTTTCTGTTTAGTAGTCGGTATAGTTGGCCGTATCGTCGGTTTAGTTCCTGTCTTTTAAATCTAGTATGAGGGTTCCAGATTAGTCGTCGGTCTAAGAGAAATCCAAGGTACCGGACCGTACCTG